AACTGGTCTATAGCACATTCTTTTAGCTCACCAATATGTGCTCCACTTTTACTTTTGAAAAAATAATATATCTTGTTTTCAACATTACAGTTTTAATAATAGGTACATCCTTTTTAGCCTCTTTGTCAATTTTAGAGTTATATGTGGTTTAGGGTACTTTGACATTTCAAGTAAAAGAGTTGCCTGTCAAAAAACAAATACTTCCAGTGGCATGTTTAAAAGTAGTGTTCAGTTTTAACACTAAATCATTGATTATACATTGAATTAAGATATAAATCAATTAAAAATCAGTATCAATCTTTATTCAATCTTATGAATTTAGATTCGAGATGAAAAGGAGTGAAATGAATCACGGAAATGCACAAGACACTCATAAGCTTTCATAGCTTTCTGCCCTATCCAAAATGTATTGTGTAAATATTGTTCATCATAGTGTAAATATATCGAATAAAATATGTTTACACCAAATGCACTATTTTGAAAGATTTTGGTCAGGTACATCCTAAAGGGCATTAAGTTAAACACCAAGGATTCTATAATATACAATCAGTGCATGTCCTTTGATTAAGTGTTGAATGTAAACAGAATAATAAGAGCAACATTGTCGCAAAAAACGCCCGTCAAAAAGCTTTTGACAGAGATGTGGGTATTATAGATTTTCATATAGGAGATATGCTATGGGCATTATCCGGACAATATCTGGATATTTTATCATCTCTAGTGAACTTGACCTTGCAAATATTACCTAAATTACACGTGTCACACTTCATGATAGTTATCATTTCTGTAACAATCCACCATAAATGATGATTAAATGTTCCCTGTACATATCTTCTGTTTTATCTTTACTTCTTTTGACCTCTCTATGTGACCTTGAATTTGGTAGCAGGGACCTGGATTATGCGCACAATACTTAGTCTCAAAATGTTTACTATTTGTGCCAAGTTACATTAAAATGCCCCGATATATGAAGCATAGGTTTTTCAATAACCTCTAAGTTTGACCTTAACCTAGAGACCTGGTTTATGCACGTGACATAGCTTATCATAGTGGTGAACATTTCTATGGAGTTTTATTAGAATCGCAAAATGCATGTAGGAAATATGCTCTTGATATAATCTCTATATTTTTATAATTGTTAGTGACCTTGACCGTGCATATATTAAACTAAATTACGTGTTTCACACCTGTTGTCATGATGATGACGATTTGTGTTTCAATCCCTCAATAAATGATGACTAGATGGTCCAAATACAAATTTTTATATCTTCATCTGAACTTGGAGCCCTATTTATGACTTTGACCTGCAGGGTCCTGAATTTTGCATGACACTCAACCTTCCTTTAGTGAGCATATGTGCCAAGTTATATTACAATTCCTCTATGCATGTAGAACTTGTGTTCCGGACAAGCATTTTTTAATGTCCGCTAAGCGTGACTCTGAACTTTGACCCATTTGTGTGACATTGACCTTGGCTGCAGGGACCTAAATTTTGCACGCAACACTCCGCCCTGCAATGAACACTCTGCCCTGCAATGGTGAACATTTGTGCCATGTTTTATTGTAATCTCTCTGGGCGTGTAGAAGTTTTGCTCCGGACAAGTGTTTTTCAATGAACTGACCTGTGTGACCTTGACCTGGTTCATACGCGCGACACAGTTTGAAGTCTCATTCAAATTCTTTCATGCGTGTAGGAGATATGCTCCGGGGAATATTTGACGCCGCCCGTCGGGGGGACTATAATGCGACCCGATTTTTAAACAGGCGAATAAAAATGGCACACAAAAAATGGTATGATGTTCCACCGGCATCATCAAAATTAATGTGTGGCAATATTTTGTATGTGGAGAATTTTAGATTCTGGATGTTTCGGAAATAAATCTCGACTTTTAGTGATCTTAAACCCACTGTCATAATATGGCACGATATGGAGTTCAGATGCGCAGTAATATAATCACGAAAGCCTGAGGAAAAGACTGAGTGATTAATTAATACAAACATCTGAACGACATACCGTGCTATATGTAACACAGATCACTGAAAAACAAGATCTATTTCAATTTTTACACTTCAAGAAAATAAATAAATTATATAGCGTGACTAAATTTTTGCTGGTTAAATTTGTTTTCGCATCAGTGTTTCTAATAGCAGCATTCCTAAAAGGTTTTTTCCAATTGGTTTGAAAAAATAAATGTCGTTAAATCTACTCTTTGTATAATCATTTTGAGAAAAAAAAGTGTAAACGTTGATAAACTGTTTTGTGTTTATTTTATTTATTCTTATATTTTTCAAGCAAAATACAGAGTATTGAAATAGCGTGCCTAAATTTTTACTGTTTTTGCACGCACTGTTTGTTGCTAATTTTTTTTACTGTTTTTGCACGCGATGTTTAGCGCTGCATTCATTGAGACGTCATGTAAACAACGCTCCAAAAGTCTGAACAGCATTAATGGCTGAATTAAAGATATTGGTGTTCGGATTTAATTATTTAGCAAGACCATTAAACAAAATAGCCGGCTATTTGTCAGTTTGCAAATACGGAGAAGGGAAATAAGAATGGTGTGTGTATCTATTGTGAAATTTATCACGCTTCTAGCTTTATTTGTTTATAAAAGGGAACTCTCTGATAGTGTTAGAATGTGTTATATGTAGATTCTGCAACAAAATGTCAACATACACAGGACATGTTCCAACATGGAACAGAAACATTGAATTGTAAATTAAAATGCATTGCTGAACGAAATACACGAGCTTACCATGTTGTCCCCTTCCCCCCACCAAAAAAAAAAAACAACACAAAAACAACCTGTGACTTTCTAAAGGGGAAAATAGTGCTGTAATCAAAAAAAAAAAAAAAAAAAAAAAAAAAAAAAAAGGGGGGGAGGGAAAAGCTGATATCAAACATATATATATAATTTTTCCATTTAAGTTTCTTTTATTTTCTCAATTAGAGCTGTTTATTTAGTAATTTAACTTTTTTGTGGAACTTTTTTTCGGTTCAAGGGGAAAATATGACTTCATTTTAGATGAAAATAAAGCGGAAAAACAGCCTTTGCACTTAACAACTTTTCTATCGCTACCAGTAGCCTTTTCGCAATATTTCTAAAACTATTGAGGATATTGCTTGAAATTTTCATTCACATTTTGACAACATTTTTGTGTGGTTTTTTTTAAACAGATTAATATTATTTAGCGCAAGTTTGTTCGCGAAGTCAACTTGCTGTAAAACCGTTTTGTTATGTCAACACAAGAATAAAAAACGATATAAGCATATCATTCCATTGTGTTGCTTTTTTTGGACATTCGAATTAACTATTTATGCACCTTTCCGAACAGTTATGCAAAGCTCGGAAAAAAAATGCAGACCAGCAAAATACAGACCTGTCATGTCAGAAAAATCAGTGGAGTCCCTTAAACTGTTATTTATTGTTGTTTGATAAGAAAGGAACTCCCACACTTTCTATCATTTATGGAATGCTGTCATGTGACAATTTAGGGCAGTTCAAGTGTCCTTCATATTTATATTAAGTACATGAAATTTACTTGATAAGACTTTCTAAAAAAAAGGAATCCGAATGTAAAGATAAGGTACATGTAATTACAAACGAATGAACGTGTGAGATAAAGTAATACATGCAACCATTATACTTTACTATATGTTACCCCATTGCTTACGCATACTGGCTACTTATGCTGATGTGAGCATGTGGTAAGGGAGCCACGTACAGTTTTGTCCACTACTAACACCAAACAACGCAAGAACTGTAGAAGTACATCAATACTTTTGTTAACAAAAATTGATAACTAATGTCTTGTAGCGAACATGTGTTTAAAATACCTTGACCTGATGACCTTAAAATCAATGAAGGCAATGCACAATGTCCCTACAAAGAATTACACATCTAAGCGTGTTTTCTCCAGACAAGGACGTACACTGTGTCATTGTGACCTATCCAACTGACCTAAAACTCAATAGGGGGGGTCGTCTACTGGAATACGATAGGTCAATACCAAATTTAACACATTTCGTCCTGTTACTACTTAAGTAATTGATCGGAAAAGGCATTTGGTGTCATTGTGACATTATTCAATCAATAGATACCAGCAACAGGCCATTGGTAATGTCCCTACTTAGTTTCACAATTTTTGACCTATATTTCTTTTCAAATCGCAGGCAGAAAAATTAGTGTCACTGTGACTACAAGACATCAAAAGCCATGGCTAACACATTCTCAAGAAATTGATAGACCAAGGTTAAGAGGACATACGAACGTACAGACCGAGGCATGCAATTCTGAAATGAATGTGTTTGACACAGTTTGTATATAATCACACGATTGTTTCTTGTAAATTTAAGCAAAGAAAGCTAACCAATCAGCTTACAAGTGTTATATTGACCTTAAAAGTATCAGAGTGATAGATAATATCAACATTTCGGAAAATACATACGTCACAAATTTTCGGAATGAACTAGTTCGATCCGGTCTTCTTACTTACAATACGTAATACAATGACACTTCATCACGTATATTAATTATACTGTTGAAGTGATAACGACGCATACGACAACACTTATGATACTGTTAGCAAAAGATAATTAAACAGCAAAAATGATTTAAACGAGTTTAAAAGAAATTAATAGTTATTTACCAAAGAAAAGAGACATTCCTTTCATGTTGTTAACGATGTTTAACACCACAGAGAGTCCAATCACGAGTATGAACGGCGTTACTTTCCGTAATGATGAATTCAAATCGCTAATGACTTTTCCTTTTTAGTGAATTTCGTTTTCTTGGGAACAAAGACAAGCAGACGGACAAATCATCTTGAGGATTTTTGGATAACATGAAAATACTAGTTTTCTGAATGTAACAGTAAAATTTTCACAATACCCTAGCGGCCAGGAAATCAGATGACTGCTGTCAATACATAGTCAATATATGACAATATCAAGTATTGCAATAAATAATGGGAAAAGAACAGAAAAAACACATGTTACGTCGTTTTCCTTTTGTATTTGTTGCCTTGGTAACACTTGTCATAAAAGTTCATTCTAGACTGTTTTCTTAACCAATATTCATTTTATAAGCATAATTCGAAACAACAATTGAACTCAGAACATTGTTTTCGCAACCTAAACTGTATTCATTTCTGAACATGTATAAACAATTAAATAAACAAAGCATTACATATAAATGAATGAATAAATAAATAAGGAATAAATGAACGAACTGAGACATTGAATGTGACTTTATATATCTGAAATAAATATCCATTTCAGAACAGGAGTAAATATAGTCCAATGGTCATGTGACCATCTGCTTCAAATCAGGAGGACCAGCAGCAGGGCGACACTAAGTCTAGCAAACATTTGTGTGAACAATCCTGAAAATAAATTAATAACATAAGATATAACAGTAATCCTGCTAAATATGCGTGTGATTTACGTGTACCTGTCTTACAATAAAGTAATAGTTTGGTCCTTTAACCTGAGAGAATCAAACATATGTCATTATATCCCCTGCCATCAGTATAAAGCAAGGCCTGTCTGCATGTTCATGTATCTTGACCACATTTTATACTGTTGGTAGCTAAATTAATGTATTTTGAAATTCCAGAATTAACTTTTTTAAATTCAAAAACTGGCCCAAATCATTACATCATATGTTATATCACTAGTAAAGGGTTAGGGCATTTCAACATACAAATTGCTAGCACTGAGCAGATAACAGTAAAGAGACTGTATTTGCATATTTACACAACAGTATTTAATACATTGTTCAAGAAATGAAACAAAGCATTTGTCACTTTTAGTGCACTTGTCATTAAAATGTAATTGTTATCTTTTTGTAATATTCTCATTATAGAAATTAAAAAGTAAAAACCTTTCAATCTGATCACACACATATATTACTCCTGTATAGAACTTGAATTTATATATTTTACAATTTACAGCACTATTTTAGAGCTGAGCACTTTATGCGTTTATACTGACATTTGAATAGTTTTAACCATGGGTAATATTTAAATTCTCATTTATGTTAAAGACAAACACCCCTACACAAGTATTTCATGCCACATTCCAATAGTACACAAGTATGGTTTGACATGTATTTTACATCATATTTTATTGTTGTTTTTGTATTACACTGCTTCATTACAGTTGCTCAAATATACCATTTAATCCTAATTAGCTGGTAAAATGGCGTCACAGTGCAAAGCAAGTATTGTTAAATAGACTTGAGTGAAGTTGACCAATGAATGTTCAAACAGTAAACATGATAAATCAGCTTTTCTAGGGTCTTTGAATTTTCTAACATAAGCTCATAAAAAATAACAGAACTAACGTATCCTACCTATGGCTAAGCTACCACCGCTGCCATTTGTACCTGCTTCTGCTGCGAATGATTTTAATTCCACTGTTGACATCGCCTGAAAATTTTGTTCAATTGATTTTTTCAATACATGTATTAGCACCTGGTAAGACAAATATATGACTATGCTGGATTAAAGGAAAAGCCTAAAACAACTTAAAAATTACAAACATAGAATTGTTTTGAGATGAAAAGAGCACAATAGATCTGTACTTTCCAAAGTTTGTTCCATTATATTTAGGGAATATATGCAAACAATCAGTCAATGTTTTATCGTTACAGTAGATCTGTATTTTCCAAAGTTTGTGCCATTATATTAAGGGAATATATGCGAACAATCAGTCAATGTTTAATCGTTATTGATTTCATTAGGTTTATTATCACTTTGTTTTGTATTTGTTTGTTGCAAATACTTATTGTTATATTAAAAAATACACTTTTGTTTGCAAATCTGTAATTTAGTAATTATGCTAAATTGTATTATGCTAAACCTATTTAGAGGACAATTATGGTCATTTCTAATTGGCCGATGAGATTTGCAGCATCTTTTGTGTCTTAAATATGAATGTAGACCCTGCTATGTTCACATGTTTTCAAAAGCTCAGAGTTACATTTAAGGCGGCACGAATTAGCTTGCATAATTTTTTTTATCTTTGACTGATACTCCGTGGAAAGTGCATGGCGGTAAATTATCACCACTTTGTGCTTCCAAATTAACTCTTTAAGGACATGACTGGTGACATGTCCCGGGTCCGTACTCGACAGATAAGTGATTGTTTTCAATTGAGATTACAACACTGTCTGTTGTGATTAAATTTAATTTGTTTCTATGAAATAATAATACTGACCTTTATATCGCAATAGAGTAAACTACGGGTTTATAATTTCTAAATGTCCTATGCGTTGTATGATCAAGACCGTGTATGTTCTTTTTTTTTCCTTATTTATAACTATTTTCAACATTTCTGAAGGTATGATTGTTTTTTATGCTGTTCTTTTCGTTTTTTAATATGTTTTGCACTCACTTATTTGGGTAAGGACTATACTCTTTTGAATAAGAATTGGTTTAAGAATTAATGTTTAAATTTCATCCCGAATAAAAAACAATAAATGTCATTTCAGTGCCGTAAAAGACTATGCAAAACGAGGCAAATCAGTGTTTCTAAGTTGTAATATATTCGTGTTGACAATTCTGCAAGCACTACTTGGCCATTTTCATTAAAATATACTTTAAAAATGAAGAACAGGTCTAAAAACAATGACAAAAGTAGGGATCAAACGACAGAACTCTCATATATTAGGTAATATCTTAACCGACTGTAGAATGTGCTATTGCGAATGTGATGAGAATCCAAACAAGCTAGTGTGACTTTTCTAAAACATTAGTTATATAATCAATATTAATTCTCGTAAAGAATAAGGACAGAACCATAGTGGGAATGAGTATTTAAATGAGTGATGTAATGTATTCATAATAAACAGGTCAATAAAATCAGACTATACTCACTAAGCCCTTTCTTCAGAAAATAAATTTTATTGAACTTTCAAAAGAAATAATTAATAATTTATTATGCCCTCCATCTGCTCTGAAGGCTCAAACCCATCCGACTGTCACAAGTAACCTTGAATAGCATGTGGGACAGCCAGCATGGGTCTTTGTGCCACATAGATGAAAGCTTCTTACAGTCATAATACAATCACTTCTATCCTGAATTGATAATTAAACACTGATTTAAAAGTACAATTTTATTTTTATTGCAAATGTCTTTAGTTCATTAGTAGGCATTGAAGACAAAAAGTAGGAATAAAGTAGGAAAAAGTAGGAAAAGAAGGAAAAATTTGACAGTCTGAAGATCGCAATTCTGAAAGACAGTACTAGGTAAATTTTACCACAAATGGTGTTGTTTGTGTGACATCTACTTCAGGTTTCTCTGTTACTTCCCATGAAAGTTTTTCTGTCTCAGTTGCAGACAGTCCAGCTGTAAAGAATATTTCAAATTTGATGTCTTCTTATCTTCTGAATCTTTAAGACTTATTAGTATCAAATATGAAATAAAAACATTGGCACACTGTCTTTATTCTATAATATATCAATGAAGTGCCTCCGATATTTATAATTTTTCAATGCAGACATAAAATTTCTCATTTTATAATATTCAAAGGTGTCTGTCGATCACTATTTACTATGATGTTCAAATAACAAATTTAAGAGTTCCTCTTAGTATTGAAGAAACATTAATATTTTATATGACAAGAATATAATTTTACTATGTACATTTGAATAAACATTTAGCCTGCAGAGCTTTTTTCATTCTATAGCAGGGGCCTCAAAGAAAAATTGCTTGAAATCCTTCAGTTTTCCAAAAAAATTGAATTAACATCAAGTTTTTTTCTTTCTCTTTTGCAAATATACTGTATAATTGTTCACAAAAACTAAGGGGAAGCAAGCTGCGTACCCAATCTGTGAAAAAAAGCCCTGGGCTGTCATTAATTTAACTTTGTCATAATTATATCCACCCCCAACTTTAAGGATATCAATAAAATATCAATATAGCATTATACCAGTAACATATCCCAGATCTTTAACTGTTGAAGCTTCAAGTGTGCTCACTGGTCCATTAGCATCTACATTGGTAGACAACTGTTCAAGTTGTGATAACTGCTCTATAGTACATTCTTTTAGCTCACCAATATGTACTCCACTTTTACTTTTGAAAAAATAATATATCCTTTTCTCAACATCATAATAATAATGGTGAGAGTCAGACAATGACATCATTTAATATTAATTTAATAATAGGTATATCTTTTTGAGCCTCTTTATCAATTTTAGAGTTATATGTGTTTTTTTTATTACACTTAAACATTCAAGTAAAAGAGTTGCCTATCAAATAACAAATACTACAGTGTTTAATTTTATACACTAAATCATTGTTCCTTTGGTGAATTCAGATTAGTAATCAACCAAAAAATCAGCATAATTCGAGACAAAAAGTGGTGAAATGAATCACTGAAAGCACAAATGCACTACCGGCGGAACGATTTTTGTTTCAGGTAGTTGATCGGTTTAAGGGCAATTATGTCAAAATATAAGTCTTTGTGATGTAATGCAGAATCCAGTCAGTGCATGTCATGTGTAAACAAAATAAAATGGCACACAAAAATTACCGGATTTCATTAATTAATGTGTGACAATATCTTGCATTGTGGAGAATTTTTGATTCTGGATGTTTCGGGCAAAGTAAATCTTGAGTTTTGAGATGATTTGCGGTGTTTATAGATATAGCACGTATGGAGTTCCAATGCGTCCTTAATAACAATCATGAAGGCTGTAGGCCTGAGTGATTAATTTCTAACATACGAACGACATGCCGTGCTACATGTAACACAGAGCACTGAAAAGCAAGATCTATTTCAATTTCAACACGTCATAAAAATATAGTTGGACTAAATTTTTGGTGGTTAAATTTGTTTTTCGCCTCATAGTTTCTAATTGCAAAATTCTTTAAAGGATTTTCCAGTTGAACTTGGTTAGAAATATTGTTAAATCTACCATTTGAACAAACATTTTGAGAATAACAAATTTTGAAAACGTTGATAAAATTAATTTTGTGCTTATTTTATTTCTTTTGATATTTTTTCAAGCAAAATTTAGAGTATTCATATTGAAATAATAGTGATATTCAACTGTTTTGCAACACTGAAATAGCGTGCATTTCCTGAGGAAAAACTGATATATCAAAACACCAACAACTGAGATTGTAGCATTGCCATACTTAAATTAATTTTTCCACTTTGGTTCTTTCATTTTGTAATTAAGAGCTGTTAATTTAGTAATTCAACTACTAATTGCAGTACCAATATCTTTTTTTTTCGTTTCAAGGGGAAAGCATGACTTCATTTTAGATGAAAATATAGCACCTATGGCTAGGGGAAACAGCCGATACACTTGACAACTTTTCTAACGCTACCAATAGCCTTTTTGCAATATTTTTAAAACTATTGAGGACAATTGCTTGACATTTTTAGGGCAGTGAAAGAAATATATCAGACATTGCTTGGGGGAAAACAAAGTACAGACATCTCCGTAGTTTAAGTTAAAAGATTTTGTATTTTATTTGATGCAATCCCCACTTTACAAGGGCACAAAAATTATCGGACATATACAATTACTAATAAAATGAAAGTACTTAGTAGTATTAACAAAGCAGACATATTACTGATGTGAGGTGCACGTTCAGCATTCTTGCAACCTGATAAAACAAAATTTGCAGGCTTCTGAAATTGGCCTAAGTTATATTTAATTTCTTTTTTAAATGTCTGATAGAAAACAAAATTATAATGACTGGCAAAATATAAGTATACACTTACAACATTGTAACTTGTACCACCTGCAATAAGACCAATCACTCTTGCTCTTTCTTGGTTTGACTGATTCTGCATTTCAAAATATTTGCTAATAACTGCTGCAAATGTCATTGTCCATGAACTTAACCGTTTATTTTGTAACTACTTGGAAAGTACATGTATTTCTAACCAGTAATCACAAGTTTCACGTGAACCGCGCCTGTTAAACGAGTTCTTACCCCGGTGTATTTATGGGGAAAAAAACATAACAACATGGAAACTGCTTCAAAACCCTTGAAATAAAACAGTTTTACAAGGTTTTTTTTTTTTCAATTCCATTTGGTTTTTTTAATTCCAAGGTTTTTCTTAAAACCTCGGAAATTTTATCCAAGCTTTTTGTATAAAATATCTTGGAAACTAATTTCAGAGATTAAATACTCTGCCTAACATCAGCTTGGAAATGAAAACTTTGTAATTTATTTGCCCGGAAAAGAACTTAAAAATAAGATAAAAAATTTACGTAAAATTTGTTGCAAATTTTTAGCTTGGAAAGTACCTCCGAAAATTGTACTTAACTAAATTTTATCTTAGAAAATGTTAAGCATTATCATGGATTAAGCTTACAATGGGCAATAAAAGCTATGATAAAATTAAAGCTGGCAGATTTAACTCAAACCAAGCTACAATCCTGGCTGTAGATTGTCCATAGATATTTTTTTCAATTCATTTGATCAGAGCAAAACAATTGTCCATGGTTAGTACATGCAAAACAGCAGGAAAGCCCGAGGAATTTTAACCAGGGGGAAATCAATTTTCAGCAAGGACATTCACTGTCCATGACCAACTACCTCTCAATAAACTTGTACTTAGAAATTTCTGAAGCGATTTTTTTGGGAGGAATTAACTGTGATTCTCTTTCAAAAAACTTATCATAATTTTTAAAGACCATTTGATATAGTCATATCTTCCAATAATGTAAAAATAAAAATGATGGAGTTTTGATATTATGACGGACATGTCCAGGTTATATCTGTTGAAAAAATTTGAATCTCAGACATTTGGGTTCAGGGGCTTATCAAATAGTGCAAACCTGGATTGGTATTTCCAGCAATTTTAGAGATATCTTGTTTTAAATGTTAGGGAGAATATTTTGGAATTTTCAAAGAAAACATTTATCTCAGTGTGACAAGATTTAGGAAGTGTTTGGTTGTTGTAATTGAACCGAATATCAATGACCTTGAGGCAGGGAAGAATAGGAAAAGGAATACCATAAAACAGTTAAAAAGGGCTTCAGGGTATAAATAACTTTTAGATAAATTTTAATTGCCATGTAATTGCAGAAAAAAAAATGGTTATTTTCAAAAATATATAAAATCTTTTAACAAAACCTACTTTTAGATGTATAGTCTTTTTGTTGCCCCCAGCTTTAAAGGGGCGGGTTTGGGGGCATGGGGGGGGGCAGGATTTCAGATTTAAACCCCTTGTCCGTCCGTGCAGTCTGTTTCTTTTTTTTTTTAGTGTCAAACGTATCAAAAAATTTTGACGCTAGAAGTCATACAACTTTACAGGAATGTTTGATCAGTGCCATGTCAGTTGTGCACCGGGGTATTTTTGTGTTAAATATGTAGTTTTTTTTTTAAGGAGTTATTGCTTCTTGACTTTTAAGTGAAAATTTTTACTTAATTTATTCAATTTTGGGGTGTCGCATGTAACTCGCAAAAGAAGTATTTGACCTTAGAGCTCATAAAACCTTACAGGAAATTGTTTGCCTAAGTGATCATGGTGGAAAGTGTGGTGCACCTAGGTTTTTTGTTTAAAAAAGGTTCCTGAATATATTTAAAGTATTTTTAGGAGTTATTTGCTCTTGTAAATACTTTAATGTAAAAATTTACAATTTTCAAATTTGTGTTTTGCACGTAAAAGTCAAATTAAATAATTTTGGACCTGGTTCATGAAAAACTTTTTACAGGAATGTTGCTCAGGTAATCTGGTGAAGGGATGTGCACCTGCCCGTTTCCCTTTTGTGGAATTTTTTTGTATTTGGGTCAGAGTTTATTGCCCTTTAAAACTTGGTAAAATTTGCAATTTTTCTCAACTTGTGTTGTCGCCAACATAGCTCAAGAAGTATTTTTACCTAGTAAGTAGTCATGAAACTTTACAAAAGATGTTGATCAGTGCATTTGTGTAGTTGTGCACCTAGGTATTTTCGTTTAGATTTTGATTTAGTATTTGAGAGTTATTGCTCTTGACATAGTGAAAATTTTTAATTTTCAAATATGCGTTGTGCGTACCTCAAAAAATGTTATTAACCTAGAGTCATTGAACTTAAATCAGGAAATGTTTCGGTCAGCATATGTAGTTGTGCGCCTTTTTGGATTTCGCTTGTGGATTTTATCCAGTTTGTATTTGTAGAGATATTGCCTTGACTTAGTAAAAAAACTGTTTTCATTATGTTGTGTTTTTATTTAAATTTTTCCTTGAGTGTTTAAGTTAAAAATAAATAAAAATTTTTATTTTGGAAAAGAAATTTGATAAAACCATCACTTAAAAGCTAGGGCACCGGGATTTTGCATGTAGATTTTTTTCAGTTTTTTTTAAATTTTTTTGCCATTTGACTTAGTAAAAAATTTTTGAAATTTTTCCCAACTTTTTCCCAATGCATACCCTAAAAAGTATCTAAACCTGTAGGGCCTGAAAGTTTACAAAAAAAATTGTTGGTCACCTTTTTTGTGCTTATGCACCCTTGGGGTTTCACTTGGGTTTAAAAATTTCAGTTTTGAAAATTTTTTGTTGCCTTTTTACTTATTTAAAAGGGTTTTTTTTGGTTTTAAATTGAAAGGGTTGGACATGTACCCTAAAAATTTTTGTGACCCTAGAGTTTTTAAAAAATTGAAAAAAAACAGGGGATTTTTGGGGGAAACCAGTGCCCTTTTTAGGGGACATTTTTCCCTTTAGTTCCTCTGTGAGCTAGTTTAAATACAATTGTTTATATTTTATGATATACATTTTATGTTTGTCTATGAATTTATCAAACAAGACCAGTGCATGAAATTATAATGACATTATTTACAAACTTTCATCTTTTATTTGAATTTAAATTTTTTTAATTACAGTCAGCTTGAAACAAAGTTTGCAAGTGTTCCAAACTTCATCAAGATGGCAATCCACCATTGTCGTCTCTCATATAAAGCAAGGAAATATACTGGAAAGTCAATTTGATATGGGGAACCTGCAAAAAATCAGGTAAAAGGGGGAAGCCAAAACTGTTTAGACCATAAAAAGGTTTAAAAAGGAAATATATTACAGTATGCTTTTTTTTTTAAAAATACACTAGGTTTTTTGGAAGTTTCAAAGTGGAATGAAATGAATGAAAGTTTCCCAGAACTGATTTTTTATTTATACTTCGTTGAATATTACTAACACTGTAAATTTTAATGATGACTTTCCAGATTTATTGTTGAAGGAACACATTACATGCTCCTATGAGCAAACAGATAATGTCCTGAGTTCCTCCATCACGGGTGTTCCTTAAACTAGCTGGATAGCTCCGTCAGACGGAAGAAGCCAGCCCTGGAGTCAAAATTACAATTTTGTAAGGCAAGTAGTTTGAGGTCGTTGATCTTAACCACATGCATCAGTAGCAATCAAATCCTTTACTTTTTCTACCATTTTTGACAAAGTGGCATGCATGAGGTTGCATCTTTTTACTGAAACTCCACACCACTTTGAAATTTCTTAACCACCGTGTGACATAAAAAAATAAAGTTCATTGTTTCCCCATAAAGACAAAAACATATTTTCAAATCAAATATGTCTTTTGCCTGTATACCAAGAATACTACAGTTGGTTTTTATTTATATAGGGACCGTACTTGGTCAGTGAAAGGAAACCTTTTTCCAACCAGTTTATCTTTAGTCGACACCAGTAGATAGCGTTCATCGAGCTATTGTTAAAGCTAGACTGAACTGATTTACACATGTATGGTATTCACTATTGACCATCTATGCAATACATGTACATTATAAGTTCCTGCAAAACATGGTTAAAAGCGAGATATTGGCTTAGTTGCATTCATATTTGGACACCCCTCGTAAAAGTCATTGTGTTTCTTTTTTCCTTTTAATCATAGTGAGATACACTAACAGTGTATTAATAATAACTAGAAGCAAACAAGTCTAAACATCGTCTAAATATGAGTTTTAAGATTGGCAACTAAGTCTTAAAATATATTTAAAAAAATTTGGTGCATGTATTAATAAATTTTATAATTCTGCAAGTTTGTAACATCCCTTTTCATTGGATAATATTGACATTTATATAGTTTTATGCAGACAGGCTGGTGTTGATTTATAAAGAAATCTCGCTTTATTCCTCTAAAAATGATGCTTGCTGTATCGTTAATTTTTTATAAATATTTCTGACAGGTTATTTGGCCGTATATAAACGGTTGTTTGCAATATAACCCTCACCTAGCCACTTGGGTTATATTTACAAACAATCATTTATATAGGGCGATATAACCTGTCAAAAATATTTATAACTAATGATATTTAGGTTTTCAGTATGTCCAGTTTCCAATACAGAACCTGCTGTAACATTAATCAGTCACAATAATTGATTGATAGAAGCCTACAAAGAATGAACAGAGGCAACATAGCAGGAGAGTGGGGACAATTTCCGTAGAGAAAATGGACATTGTCTATGGAGAGCATGGACAATGTCAATGGATAAAATGGACACTGTCCCATGGAGAGTTTGGTGGACAATGTTCATGGGAAAGGCATGGGTATTTGTCCAAATTTTTCCTGTGGAAATTGGTGCCATGATTTAAGGCTTCCCCAGGACAACTTGGACATTATCGATTGACAGTAATTTTTTTTTGATTGGTTGATGTTTCAATACATGGACAATTGACCATGCTTAATCCATATTTGGGGTAAAGCTATGGACATTCTACAGTCATGGGTTCTTATTGTTGTTAGTTTGTGGTACCAAAAAATTATTAAAACTGAACAAATGAGTGGCTAATATTTAACCATTAAAGGTACTAACTAACTTAAACTTTTCATTTGTGTGCTGTTTTTTAGTATTATTGTATTGTTAAATTTCTAATTTTCCCAAATAAATGGCATATCTATTAAAGTTACATTTAATAAATTTCATAAAAACGGAAATAGCGACATTTCATTAATAAATTGGGTTTCATATCGACTCCAGGTCTTATTTTGGTGTCCAGACAACCGAAATGAGTTTTATGAGCATACAAATATGCAACCTCATTGTGGCGAATTCGGAAGTACAACTTTTGTTTGCATGAGAAACTCCGCCTTCAGATCATCGGTACATCAATGTTAAATCAACAAACATTACTATAAGTAGCAAATCTAATTTAATGGTATATTTTCCGCATTGTAACGGTTATTTTCATACAAATTTAATTCTTTTTTATGAGATGATTATTTTTCTGAACCCCAGGCCTAGTGCACCGTGAAGTTTAAACGGTTAAATTGTGTTTGCACAAGAATATCTTATATTTGCTGTGTTCCGGATAGCAACTATAACACCGTGACGTGGTGCATACACGAGCTGATTATAGTCTTCATTTGCATGTTAAAATTCTTATACGAACTTTAGTGTTACCGTGGGGTTTTCCATTTAAAATCCTAATTTATGAACAGTATTTGATGAGATTTATAACGATACTGTTAAAAAGGTAAATGAAACTGTAGAATGCTTGGTTTTTAGGCCGACGGCAAAAATATTTTTACATATTTATTTAATGTAGCTTTAATCTATATTTCCTGAAAATATTCAGTTCCTTTCGTTTGTTTTAAAATTATTGCAAAAATGCTACTGATAGCGTTAGAGAAGTTGTTAAATGTATAAGGCTGTAAAATATGAAAACAAAAATTACTACCATGCATTACAATACTCTGTTACACTCAGCTGAGCGTTTTTTTTCTCTACTTTGGGAATGGTGCCGGTACCATACTGACTGGGAAAAATGAGTTATTTTGACTTAAATTGGGATTTTTTTCATGCATTTTTTCTGTCTAAGTAGAACTATTGAGTGGTGATTTACATGAATATATTGGATTTAAATGATTTCAGAGAAATCACTTGGCCTTGTGGCAATTTTGAACAGCTTTTTTTGGGAATTTAAACATTGGAAATTGGGAATTTTAATGTCTATTTTCTATTGGGAACAGTACCGTTTTAGGGTAGTAGTTATATAAAGAAAAAAACATACTGTACAGCTTACCCAATTTCTGCAGCTGGTAAAGTACCAAGCTGACTGGCAGTAAAACCACACAAGATTGATCCAAGCATTGTGATGTCTTCAGATGTCACAGTTGCAAGGTTAGATAAACTTTTAACACCCATGTATCTTGTGGCCAAGGCAGATAACTGGAATTACAATTTGTAAAATTAATCTAAGATAAGAAGTGTATATCAATGTTGTAAATAACAGTTATTTTAAAAGACATACAGGAGCTGATTTATTGATTTTCATAGACTTTAAGATAATCAACCTGTTTCATTTCAAGCTTCTCATATATTTGATCTTTGACATTGAAATTTTAACAAAGGACTATAAAACTGAGATTAACGCCACTCTTTTTAAAGCACAACAAATTTCTATTGCCTGTATTTATAAAAAGTGAATATCAGCTATCGAGTTGTAATTTATTCTGATTATTATGACACCTCGCAACACAAATTATTTATATTTTATGTTGTATAATTGCATTCACCAATTGTGACAAAATCATTTTGAACTGCTGCAAGCAGTGCTTTTTTTTGCCTTTGTTTTTAAATTACAAAATCATTTTTTATCATTTCTTATTATAATAGTCTATCAAACATAGTTGTTCACAAGAGCCATGTTAACATGGCCATCCCCCGCCGAATGTGTTTGCTCATTGGAAGAATGATATGTAGTAGAGCAGAATAATTCAATTTTAAGAGGTCTTTTGGTAATGAAAACTGATGGCTGAAGCGACTTGAAACCTATGTGAATACTGATGGCTGAAAATAACAAAGGGCAATAACTGAAAAATAATGCAGGGTCGGTTATCATTCTTGTGTGCTGCACTCCTTTTCAATGAGATCTACCCACCTATGAAGTTTCAAGTTGATACCTCTTTTTGAGATAAGCTCCGGACAAAAAGTATGAAAAGTAACAAAGGGCAATAACTGAAAAATTATAAAAGGTAGAGTTATCATTCTTGCGCACAGCATTCCTCCTCAATAAGATAAATCCACCTATGAAGTTTCATGATGACATCTCAAAGACATTTGAGTTATGCTCCACTCTGGTGGAAAAATAAGTATGAAAAATAACAAAAGGCAATAACTCAAAAATTATGAAGGGAAGAGTTATCACAACACACCTCCTGAGTGAGATACATCCACCTATGAAGTTTCATGTTGATATCTTAAAGGCTTTTTGAGTTATGATCTGGACAAAAATTACGTTTGAAAAATAACAAAGGGCAATAACTGAAAAAATTATGCAGGGTAGAGTTATCATTCTTGTGCACTGCACTCCTCCTCACTATGATCAATCCACTTTTGAAGTTGCAAGTTGATATCTCAAATACTTTTTGAGATATGCTCCAGACAAAAATGTCGGACAGAAGGATGGACAGAAGGATGGACAGACGGATGGACGGAAGGACAGACAGATGGATGGAGACTAAGTTATATTTTGAGTTTCAAGTGAATACCTTATATAGTAAATACTTAATGAGTTACTGTCTGGACAAAAAATAAACTTGAAAAATATCAAAGTGGAATAACTGAAAAATAATGCATGGTAGCGTTATCACTCTTGTGCGCTGCACTCGTCATCAATGGGATCTATCCACCTATGAAGTTTCAAGTTGGTATCTCAAAGGCTTTTTTAGTTATGCTGTGGACAAAAATTAAGCATGAAAATAACAAAGGGCAATTATAACTGAAAAAATATGCTGGGTTGAGTTATCATTCTTGTGTGCTGCACTCCTCCTCAATGAGATCTATCCACCTATGAAGTTTCAAGTTGATACCTGGTCTAACACTTTTGGAGATAAGCTCAAGACAAAAATTATGAAAAATAACAAAGGGCAATAACTCAAAAATTATAAAAGGAAGAGTTATCATTCTTGTGCACAGCATTAATCTTCAATAAGATCTATCCACCTTCATGTTGACATCTGAAGACTTTTGAGTTATGCTCCACTTAGGTGAAATATTAAGTATGAAAAATAAGAAAGGGCAATAACTCAAAAGATATGAAGGGTAGAGTTATCATTCTTATGCACTGCACACCTCCTGAGTGAGATCTATCCACCTATAAAGTTTCATGTTGATATCTAAAAGGCTTTTTGAGTTATGCTCTGGACAAATATTAAGTTTGAACACTAATTGACAAATGCCCCCGAAGTATTCTAGTTTTAAACCACTTATTATATCATGTTAAGTGTGGTGGTAAAACTTGACAAAGTTCGAGCCCCAGCAGTGACCTTTAAGTGAGACAAAGTAATCTGGGTCTTGTTCACAACACAATTTGGCCATCTATGGTGACTTTCTATGTTTAGATAAAAATTGAAACTTTCATGTAAATGGAAGTTACAGAGCAGACACAACAGCCACCATTTATATGTATATAACATAAATATTGAACAAGTTTAAACCTCAACAGTGACCTTGAACTAAGGCGTAGGAACACGGGTCTTAAGGGCAACACATCATACATTTATGATAATTTCATATGTGAAATAAAAAATACAATCCTCTATGCATATTAGTTTCAGAGCAGACATGACCATCTTTGCCTATATGTATATTAACATCAAAATTGACAAAGTTTGAACCCCCACAGTGACTTTGACCTAAGTCGTAGAAACCAGAGTCTTGTTCGAGACACCATACATCTATGGTTATTTCATATATGAAAGAAAAATTAAAAGCCTTTCATGCATACTGAAGTTTCAGAGCAGACACAACCACCACATTCTATTTTTATATAACATAAAAAATAACAAAGTTTGAACCCCCACAGTGACCTTGACCTTAGTGGTAGCAACTCTAGTCTTGTTCGCGACACACCATACATCTACATCTATGGTTATTTCATATGTGAAAGAAAAATTACAATCCTTACATGCATACTGAAGTTTCAAAGCAGACACGACCACCACCTTCTATATCTATATAGCATAAAAAATGACAAAGTTTGAACCCCAAAAGTGGGCTTGACCTTAGTGGTAGAAACCAGAGTCTTATTTGCAACACACCATACATCTATGGTTATTTTATATATGAAAGAAAAAGTACAATTCTTCCATGCATAATGAAGTTTCAGAGCGGACACGACTACCACCTTCTATATTTATATAACATAAAAAAAAGACAAAGTTTGAACCCCCACAGTGACCTTGATCGTAGTGGTAGAAACCTAAGTCTTGTTTGCGACACACCATACATCTATGGTTATTTCATATATGAAAGAAAAATTAAAATCCTTTCATTCGATTTTCGATTTTAATATGCCACCCTTCGGGGCATAAAATTAACAAAGAGCAATAACTGAAAAATTATGCCAGGTAGAGTTATTGTTCTTGTGCACTGCACTCCTCCTCAATGAGATCTATCCACCTATAAAGTTTCAAGTTGATACCTCAAATACTTTTTGAGATATGCTTCCAGACAAAAAAATGTTGGACGGAAGGATGGACGGACAGAGACTATTTCTATATCCCCGCCGCCTTTCAGCAGAGGACAAAGACAAATATATATATCCTAATTCCTACCGTCTGTAGAATTCCATTCTCTTAGAATTCCAAGGGAAGTAACCAGTCCATTATCAGCCAAAGGGAGACAACTCAAGTCAGTCTCACTAAAAAGAAAGGGCAACAACTCCTAGATTCACTAAATCTATTGTGTCCATGTCACAAACATTAACCTTAGACAATGCCTGAAATGAAGAAATTCATCCAATTCTAATTTATCTTACATGATTACAATGTGGTATACATAAAACTATAAAGTTCTAATTATAAAATAGCAGAGCCCAAGCTAATACAGACACTTATTTTTTACTGAGGTGCACACTCATATGCTAGAGAAGACTTCCTCCAAGCATTAGAGTCTGAATATCTCTATAATGACCTTGACAATGTCAGTGTCATTTAAAAAAAAAAAAAACACACACACAACAAAACACACACAACAAAAATGACTTCTTAAAAGATCCTTTTGAAATAGTTATCAAATAAAAACAACGAAAACATTGTCACAAAATATGCCCGTCACAAAAGCTTTTGTCAGAGATATTTGCAATTAATAATTTATGCATATACAGTCAACTATTGTTATCTCGACATCGCTTATTGATATTTCGTTATCTCGATGAAATTTTGAAAGTCCCGATTTTCTTCCTTCTTTATCTATATTGGAAATATTTGTTTATCTCGATATTTTTTTTCTCGATATTTTCAGTATCTCGATGTACAATTTCAGCCCCGACAGTTATTTTCACACTATTATCCTTTGTTTATCTCGGGTAATAGTTTTCTTTCGTCTGTTCCCTTCAGACGTGTGAAAAACACAAACTAGACGATAATTGCTCAATAGCGCGTGCCATAATGATGATTGTTTGTAAGATGTTTAGCTGTTTTTATCTAGTTTAATCTATTTAGGGTGTTGATTGACTTATGTCCAAAATGAGTGAATATTACGGTCTTTATAAATATTCGAACACTGTATCAATTCATTTTGACTTTAGATGTAAATGAAATAGTGAAAGTATAGCAACACTATCGTTGCAATATTGTTTCACAACATGACACCACCAAATCAATCAGCGGTCAAACAACATCGAGAAAGACCCGGTAAAAAACCCGGGAGGATATCCGGATCAACCACCCTGAAAACAATGTTTTCACTATAATGGTGTATTACTGAGTAAACCTCACTATGTGTTTTTATCACAGAAACGGGTCTTTTCGCTGGTAAATATCCGCTAATAATACTTTGTTAAATATTGACTTGGCCTATGAAAACAAGACATGGGGATATCATAGTTCATTTGACATAAGGTATGCACAGTCATGTCTTTTGTAAAAATCAGTTTCTGCCTTATTCAAACCCTAATATGTTTATCTCGACATTTCGTTATCTCGATATTTTTTGGACGGTCCCGATGACTTCGAGATAACGAGAGTCGACTGTAGGAGATATGCTCTGGGCAATATCTTGATTTTTGATTTTTTTATAGTCTAGTGACTCTAGTGACCTTGACCTTACATGTGACACATTTGTAGTCATGATAGTTATCATTTGTGTTACAATCCATCAATAAATGATAACTAAATGTACACAAACTTTGACCTCCCTATGTGACTTGTACTTTGGTAGCAGTGACCTGGATTATGTGCACAATACTTAGCTTCACAATGGTAGTCATGATAATGACCATTTGTGTTTCAATCCCTCAATAAATGATGACTTAATGGGCCGAATACACATTTTCATCTGAACTTTGACCCCTATGTGTGACCTTGACCTTGGCCACAGGCACTTGAATTTTGCATGTGACACTCCGCCAAGTTATATTGAAATCCTTCCATGCATGTAGAAGTTTTTTTTCTGGACAAGTGTTTGTCAAGAACCTTAAAGTGTGACCTTAACCTAGAGACCTAGTTTATGTGCATGACACTGCTTTTTATAGTGGTAAACATTTCTGTGAAATTTCATTAGAATCACTCCATATCTGTAGGAGATATTCTATGGACAAAATCTCTATATTTTATCATCTTTAGTGACCTTGACCTTGCATATATTAACCTAAAGTACATGTTTCACACACATAGTCATGATAATGACCACTTGTGTTTCAGTCCCTCATTAAAAAATGGCTAAATGGTCTGAATACACATTTTCATATTTTTAACTGAACTTTGACCTTATGTGTGACCTTAACCTTGGCTGCAGGGACATAAATTTTGCATGCAACACTCTGCCTTACAATGGTGAACATTTGTGCCAAGTTATATTAAAATCCCTCCATGCAAGAAGTTTTGCTCCAAACAAGCGTTTTTAAATGACCTCTAAGTGTGACCTTGACCTTTTATCTATAGACCTGGTTTATGTGCATGACACTGCTCATTATAGTGGTGAACATTTCTATAAAGTTTCATTAGAATCCCTCCATATGTGTAAGAGATATGCTCTGGACAAAATCTTCATATTTTATCATCTTTAGTGACTTTGACCTTTCATATATTAAATTAAATTACAGGTTTCACAACCGTAGGCATGTAAATTACCATTTGCGTTTCAATCCCTCAACAAATGATAACTAAATGGTCCAAATACACATTTTTATCTGAACTTTGACCCTATGTTTGACCGTGACCGCAGGGACCTTTACTTTGCTGTGTTTGCATGTCCACCTCACAATGGTGAACATTTGTGCCAAGTTATATTGAAATCCCTCTATACATGTATAAGTTCTAATTGTGACCTTGACCTTTGACCTGGTTTATGTGGGTGACACAATTTTTCATAGTGGTGAACATTTTCTATAAGTTTCATAAAAATTCCTTAATGTGTGTGTAGGAGATATGCTCCGGATAAAAATTGTGGCTTGCCACCCATCCGCAATACGGACCAGTTTTTTCAAATGGGCATATATAAACATCTCATCAAGTTTTTTAAATCTTAGCTTCTATATATTTGATAGAAACAAATATTAGATATAAGATAAAATTTTTATATGTATTAGTAAATCTTTATAACTTGAATAATTTTTCAAAATTACCGTTTTTTGCTTTAGAAAGCAAGGCATCCTTTTGATTACTTTTTAAATCTGTCAGTTTCCCAATATCTGGTATACAATCAATAAACTCTGCATTACTCATTGCTGAAATTTCTGCTTCTGTTTGCAGTAAGAAACAACATTGGTGAAGAGCGTATCTGTGAGCAGGTCCATTCAACTGAAAGTAAAGAAAATATGCCTTTTTTCCCCTGCTAAAATTCTATTTTTGATTTGTACTGGTAATAATACTGACTGCCACCCCAGTATAAAATAAGACCAGTTTGAACTTGTGGGCAGTCTTGACATGATACTCAATTTTGGATTTCCGTATTAATATGTAACGCCCTACATTTAACAATGAAGGCAAATGATTTTATCCATGATGCGACCAGTGCTAATTACTGGTAGGAACCAGCCAGCATATACTACAACAAATTTTCAAACTGTCAAGACAATATTAAAAAAATATGACTGAAATTTCTGAATTCTTTTGATAAGAATAGATAAGAATAGATTAGTTGCAGCAATTGTTCTTTCATATACATTATGTCCATATTTTTGCTTTTCAAACTGAAATTATTATTTTGTCTAATAAAATCATTCCATTCATGGTACATTTATTTATCTAATCACCACCAACTGGTTGAATACTCATCCATTTTATCAAAGTATCATTTTATAATCTGCTCTGTGTAAACATTTTAATGTGCCAGAATATACCTAGTTTCTTTTAGCTAAAAAAAAAAAAAACAAAAACAAAACAACCCAACCTCAGTTGATCAAATTTCAGATGGATAATGTTTCATACTGGCATAAAAAATCCCAGGAAGGTCATGTAAACAACCCTTCACCCCTCCCTTTGCCTCAGCACATGCTCTGAGTAATTAGCCTTTAAAAATTTCTAGTCTATTTCAGAATAACACTGTTTTATTATTAATTTATTCAAAATAACACACAGAAAAAAATATTCTGTTTCATTTAAATGTAGCTAAAATTTTACATGCAGTTCTCCTTTTTCCTGTTTTTTTGCTGGAAATGTCTTTACACTTGTTATCTCATGATTTTGTAGCGCTTTCACTTTATCAACATCAATTAACTTAAGGCCACCATTTCCCTTATGATATAACCCATTGTCTGTTGTCAGATTTACTTTCTGTAACAAATATAACATGTATGATTATTATGTTACTATTTAATGGGCAAAAAAAAAAATTAACTTAACCATCATTCATAAATTTCATTTGTAGGAAAGTTACCCTTTGAACTCTAATGGGCCCATCGTGTTTTCCGTAGTCATTTAAGCAGTTCCCATATGCTAAATACAATTTAAGTCACCAGCATTGCATGCTCAGTGATAAATGCTGTGTAAAAGCTTGTCTTCTGCGTAAAGGGGCAAACCCCTTACCATGTAGTATCTTTAAACCAATTTTTTAAGAAATCATCAATAAGTGTAAGAAAGGAGAGATGCTAACTCCAAAAAATTATAAACTTTTTCAGAAAATTAAGACCTGTGTCTTGTAAACTGCGTAATAGTGTGCCCCGAGTGTCATGACTTACAAGCATTCAAAAGATTTTTAAGAGATCATTCTATGTAGAATTTGAGCAAAATTTTTCTGAGTCAAAAGGGGGCAATTAAAACTCATATATTGCTTTCAGGATGATGGCCCTTGTTTTACTACTGCACTTGTCCTGATCACGTGTTCCAAGTTTCTTGTTAATATCTTTCATAGTTTATAAAGCATTTCAACTTAATGAGCAATTTTGACAAAACTTAAGTTAAAAAGTGGCGTAACTCCAAAAAATAGAAATGTCCCTTATAATACAACTGTCTCTTGTCAAGATGAACAAGTTAAAAAGGGGCATAACTCCAAATATATAGCTTTCAGATTAATGCTCCTTGTCTTACAAACTGCCTTTTTTTATGATGAGCAAGTAACTATTGCAAGTTTTTCTTATTTTGATACCTTTAAAAACTGTTTGAGTAATGGGGTATTGGGCTCCATTAAAGATTTTCAGAACAACGCAGCGATCATAATATCTCGACTTTTTCTTCAAAACAGACAAGCTTTTAAATATTTTAGATGAAAAAATTATCAAAACATCCGCCTAGTATAACTGTTCATCATAAGGATTTAAGGAGTATATTGAAATAAAGTTAATGAAAAAGAAATATAGGTAAAGACACAGTATAATGCATTATGGTCTGATCGAGTATCATCTATGGCAATCTGTATTAGAACTGTTGATAGCAGATACAAAGAGCAGAGTTCTATCTTAAAATTCATATATGATATTCTTCACCTTTTAGGAACTGTACAAAATTGAAATAAAATTCTATTTTTTTTTAAATAACTTAAGAGATACTCACAATTAAATTGTCAATTTCAAAACAGCCATCTTCAAATATTCTGTTTTCTTCATCTGTGAACAACTTACTACAAATTTTATAACTTTTAATAAATTTTTACATTATTTTACTCTCAAGTTCATAAAAAAACATGAAATGTATTATAACTTATAATTGATTTTTTACTCATTAAATCATATTAATATTCATAGAATTAATTAATTAATTGTTCTTGCAAATCTTCATTGGAATCTTAATACTTTGAAGATGTCAAAATATAAAATATTGATATTATTAATTATGAACTTTTAATGGTTAATAAATATTTGATAAACACACATTTAAACTATTTTGAAAAATACATAATTATCTCAGTTAAAATATAATTTGATTAAAAAATTTCTTTACATAAAAATTTAACATTTTTTTTTGTACATATTTATGTATATATTGTACGAAAAAACATCTTAATCACACAAAGCCATCACCTCTGTAAATAAAGAATATTCTTAAATCACAGTAGATAAACAAAATCACTATCATGCCTTCCAACCCTTTACAATTCAATTTGTATTATTGTCCTGCGATAATTCAAAGCACCTGCTACTTTCAATCACTTTCAGTTATTGAATTTAAGATTTTGAATTTACTGGCCCGAATTCCAGTTTTGAATTTATTCTACTATATATTTAACTAAATTTTCTTAAAATTTACACTGGCCTGAGGCCATGGGCCACCGGGCCAGTGCTAAATTTGATGACTGCACTTTACCTTTCATAGGAGCCTAACTGTTTTGGGAAAGTAGGAAGTAGACCCTTTATCGACTGAAAATGCTAAGGAACTATAAATGAATAAAATAAATAGATAAAAGGGATGTTGTATCTTACCGGGAATGGTTCCGCTGCTTTTCCCTAAATAGTCTGCATTTTTTACTGGAAATATGAAAAGGAGACAGTCAGAGAGATGAAACTCTTTAGTGTTTACAAGATTTAATAGAAACTATTTCACCCAAAGTGTTTATATACAGCAGGTATAAATTCATGTGGGGGAAACTGATTTTATTTCCAAAACAAATTATTTCCCAATAAATGTACACTACCTTTATAGCAGTCTGCCTTTTCCAGATTTTATTTCCAAGTTTACAAATAAACTATATTCAAATTGAATATATGTGCATAACATTATGTTAAGAAAATTGAAATACAAAGAACTGTTAAAAGCTTTGCTTGCATTTTTTTTATATACACCCTGTTTATTGGGCAATGTGTTATCATTTCACAATGGTTAACAAGACATAATGGTAGCATGCATGCCTAAATGAATGATGAGATAGCACAAACTCTTAATCTGCTGAATTTCTTAAATGGACTTTTCCAATTTCCATTTTGGAACAGTCCATTTTCCATTTTAGGGGATATCAAGGTGAGAATTTCAAGTTGGCCAGCCAACAGTATAGAGCCTGGTCAGACTGCATGGATGTGCAGACTGGCCTGGCTCTATACTGGTGGCAAAGACTAGTGATGGAAATCGGATGAAATTTATCCCAATCGATAATCGGTTCAGTCGGATAGGACATAATCGATAACTTGTCGAATAATGTCGCGTTAAAATGAAATAGGGAAGTAACATTGCATGCCAAGGCACTTGATTATATTCAGTAACATGAACTTCATTTAGCACTTTTCAATACAGTTTTAACCTTTTATAGTCTTTTTTTTGTTTTGTTTTGGGTTTTACGTCACATCGACACAGTATAGGTCATATCGCGACGTTCCAGCTTTACTGGTGGAGGAAGACCTCGGGTGCCCTTCCGTGCATTATTTCAGGCACGAACGGGCACCTGAGTAGAACCACCGATGTTCCCTAAGCTAGCTGGATAGCTTCCTCACATGAAAGAATCCAAAGTCCCTGTCGGGACTCGAACCCACAGCGGTGAGGGGCAAGTGGTTTGAAGTCAACGACCTTTAACCACTCGGCCACGGACGCCCCCTTTTATAGTCATAACTTTACGAAATAAATTTTATTTTTCAATTGGTGTCAAATAAAAACATTCACATCACATTATATAACTATTGTTTACATATCACTTATTGATCCTGTTCATCTCCAAATTGTCTCTAAGATGATTTTTTGCGATCGGCGAGGTGTTCCTTAAAGAAAATTACCGTCAGAATTAATTCCCTTTGATACTTTAAACATTTTCGACGATGTCGCGGAACAAATTTTTTGAATCGATTATTGTCGCTTTACATAAAAGTAACTGATTATCGGCGACTTGCGACAATCGGAACATCACTAGCAAAGACTGATCACTTTGGCCTTCAGCATGGTAAAGGCTAATTTCTTCAAATGTCGCTTATCCTTTTTATGACTGAATTATATAAATAAATTAACAAGTTTAATTTAAGCAGCATAATATTTCAGTGATGTTTAAAAATTTATTATATCCACAAATTATGGTACACAAAAAAATACTGTTGGTCCCAAAGTAAAAAAAAAAAGACAGTAATTAATCAAGTTTTTGTAAACTGATTAAAAGACCACATTAAATGTTAAATTACCTGTCAAATCTGCAAGAACTTTCTTAGAAATTGTATAATTCAAAGGACTGTTTTTTTCTCCTACAAAGTTGTCATCTTTTACAATACTTCCACTAGCAATCCACAGTAACACTGAAAGATAGAAAAAACAACAATTAAAAATCAGAAATAAATAACCTAAATTGGTAAAGATTCCCCTTTTTTTCTTTTTTTTTTAAGCTTTTATCTTTCAAAATTAATCCAGTGAAATAAACTGTGAAATAAACTTTTGTTTTATTTTTTTATTGTCAAAGTCTCAAACTTAGTCCTTAAAATTGAATCTCTTCAATACAAGGCTTATATGGTAAAAATTTCTTTAATACACTTTTAGGCATAATTATTTGGTACAATTTCTTACTCTTGACATGAAATATCCTCTATTTATTATAAGGAAAAGATTTAGTATCTTACATAATGATACTGTTGATGACAAAATAAACCCTTTAGCCATAGCACAATCTGAAATAAATTTAAAGGATTTTAATAATCATGATTGAATTGGCTTAAGTTTTCTCTTTTATGAAGTTTATAAACATACTATTTTGTCAATACACATGCAATATTGTTATTTGAAACAAGTTTTCACTGTAAGATTGGTTTGTTGGAAAAATTTGTATTTCAGTATGGAAAAAAAATGCAATCAAAACAATCATCTGATCAGACAAAAGAATTTACTTAAAAATAGGTAAATGGTTATCAAATTGTTACCTTTTTACTTTGTGATAACTGATAAATGTTGAATAGAACTTTAGTATCATTAGCAGTCATGGACCATTTACATATGTTTTTTTTTACTTTTTATTGATTGCTTAAGTCATTCCTGGTATTAAGTACATAAGGTAGATCATGGGTAATGGGCACCATAAGGAACTGTAAAATTGACAACATAGGACAGTTATATGTCTTCAAGGTAATCTGTATGCAAAATTTAACTAAAATTTACTGTGTGGTTTATGAGTTAATGATATATGTCTGAACTAAGACTTTGCCATTAGAAGGGCTTATTTTCCGAAATGAGGAAACTCTAAATAATCTGTAATATCATCATTATAAAAAATGTTTTTCTATTGTTCATTGTTAAGAAACAAATAATAACATTCAGGTAACAAATTACACAAGCAAAATGTTTGTTTGTAAACAAAATGTTCTTAATATGTATAAAAATGTTACCCTACCCTACCCACTTTAAACACTATTGTTACCATTTCCCTATCTAAAATGCCTTATTCAATAATGAGGGGCCGTTTTCAAAGCTTGACTAAATTTTTTTAAAGGTATATTGGTTGATAATGCGAAATATAAAATACTTTTACCGTGTAGTTTTTATCTTATTAAACTTTGAAAATATCTGGTATCATATTTGCTATAAATTTTGGCATTATTTAGCAAATAAATACCTACAATAATTATATAATTTAAATCAAACTCTTTTTCCTTCCATAAGGGTTCAGAGAGATACATAAGTAATGTTAAAAAGAAAGAAAGAAAAAGTTGCCCCTTCTGGGGTTTGAACCTAGCCTATTTGAATACTCTTCAAAGTGGAGTAAATGCATTACCCATGGTCTACCTTAAAAACAAAAATGGCTGCCACTCATATTAGGTTATTTACAGAACTAACTTTTTGATGTATACTGGTTGGAAAGATAACTTAGACGCATATCCGATAACCCCGACACTTGGTTCAATTTTTTTATTTATCATTTAGCTCGACTTTTCGATAAGAATAAGAAGAGCTATTGTAGTCACCCGATCGTCGGCGTTTGTGTTGGGGTCAACGTAACCCCTTATGTTACAGTTTTTGTAATACCTCAAATATTTTCAAAGTCCATTGACATATGGCTTTGAAACTTTGCACACTTGTTCACCATCATGACCCCAACCTGTAGCATGGAGAAGGTAACTGTATGAAGCATTTTGACAGAATTATGCCCCTTTTTTGACTTAGAATTTTCGTTTTTGTAATACCTCAAATATTTTCAAAGTCCATTGACATAATGGCTTTGAAACTTGCACATTAATGTTCACCATCATGACCTCAACCTGTAGACAGGAGGTGGTAACTGCAGGCTTCGCGAAAGTTGCCGGACCGTCGGACATGTCCGACAAAAATTAGGCCGGTCCGATATTTTTTTCCGAGTTCCGGACCTTATGTCCGGTATGAATACCGGGATATATCCAAGACCAATCAAGACCGAGTTTTCTCCCTTGAATAAAAAAATGTAAAACGAGTTTTGATTCGCCGTTTCATTTTTAGTGTCCAATCAAATTCTAGATACATACAACTTTCAATGATCTTGTACTCAGAAGAAAATGTCGGTGTTACTGCATTATTAAATTATTACGTTGGCGCTACGCCAGGCAAAAAACGTAAATTATCTAATGAAGGAAAAAAGCGAAACAAAAGAAATACGAGTCCAGGCGCCTGCCGAGAAAATTTGTGGGTAAATGGAAAAATGGCCGCTCGTGGTTGGTTTTTAACGAGGAAGGAAATAAGATGAAATGTACATTGTGTCATAAATTTTATAAAGATCATATGATGATGATGATTTTGATCATGAATGTTTAAATTTCCAGACAGAGTCCATCAATCTGGATAAACTGATGTTTTATTTAAGAGAATTAAATTGTGTTGCAAATCTTTAAAAGTTCCTATGTCTTTAAAAAAACACAAAGGTATTACCATATACATATATTTGGAAAAAAAATTCGGTCAGACAAAAGTTCTTTCGGTCAGACAAGAATTGAACGTTTGTCTGACCGAATGTCAGGCAAATGTTTCAGCAGTTTCGCGAAGCCTGTAACTGTATCAAGCATTTTGACAGAATTATGCCCCTTTTTCAACTTAAAATTTACATTAAAAATTTTGTAATCCCTCAAATATTTACAAAGTCCATTGACATTAGCTTTGAAACTTTGCACATTTGTTCAACATCATTACCCATACCTGTAGACAGGAGGAGGTAACTGTATCAAGCATTTTAAAAGAATTATGCCTCTTTTCTGACTTAGAAAAGTTTGCCACCTCAGATATTTTCATATTCTATTGACATCTGGCTTTTAAACAAGTTGAAATTTTATACTCTTCTTTGAGAGCATAATAGGACTCTCTCCAAGGCCTATAACTGTAATATGGATTTAAAGAAAAAATTTGCCCTTTTGTTAACTTAGAAAATTTTACATTATCGAGGCTCTTTTACTATCAAGCACTAAGAATAGATGAGCGTTGCTGTCCTACCGACAGCTCTTGTTTTGTCAACAAACAAGCCCATGGTCACCTAGTAATAAAGGAAAAGGACAGTAATGAGATTTTTAAGTTTGGTAAACTTTTAAATGTGTTTATGTTGACCACATTTTTTGTTACAGAAAAAGTCCACAAACCTAATCTTTTTACTTAACTTCCAGACGGTAGTTAGAATCGCCTTGAACACAGCCTCCCAAAATTGTTAAATTATCAAGAAGGCATAGATAAAGCATATAAAATGTAAAAACAATTTATTTATTCTGATTTTCAAGCTAGTTTTTAGTTTAAAATTTAATTGTTGACTTTATCTACAGTCCAGGGTTAAAAAGACCATGTTTCGGACACCTTATTCAAGACCTTAAGGAAGTCCCAGTTTCCATTTCAACAAGAGCCATGTTATCATGGCCATCCCCCGCCGAATGTGTTTGCTCACTGGAAGAATATATATGTAGTAGAGCAGAATAATTCAATTTTAAGGGGTCTTTTTGTAATGAAAACTTATGGCTGGAGTGATAAAAGCTATTGAAACCTATGTGAATACTGATGGCTGAAATAAGTTTTAAATCTTCAAAAAGCTTCTAACTGAAAAATACGATACAGGGTCAGTGTAAGAAATTCGGATTTGAATCCACTAGGCCGGTTGGACTACCAGATTGGAATATTCACTAGCCTAAAAGACATTTCACTAGCACGATTCATTTGTTCAAAACAGTTGTTTATATTGCCTCTAAAAATACAGTAGTCTGGTCGGGCTTGTTTCTGTAAAAAGTTGGTAGCCCAAGGAGAAATTTAGTAGTCAGCGGCTATCGGACTACTGCTAATTTCGAACACTGCAGGGTAGGCTATCATTCTTGTGTGCTGCACTCCACCTCAATGAAATCTATCCACCTATAAAGTTTCGAGTTGATACCTAAAACACTTTTTGAGATAAGCTCCGGACAAAAATTATGAAAAATAACAAAGGGCAATAACTGTAAAACTATAAAGGGAAGAGTTATCATTCTTGCACATAGCATTCCTCCTCAATAAGATCTATCCACCTATGAAGATTCATGTTGACATCTTAAAGACTTTTTGAGTTATGCATTTGACTCAGGTGAAAAATAATCAAGTATGAAAAATAACAAAGGGCAATAACTCAAAAATTATAAAGGGTAGAGGTATCATTATTGTGCACTGCACACCTCCTGAGTGAGATCTATCCACCTTTGAAGTTTCATATTGATATGTCAAAGACTTTTTGAGTTATGCTCTGGACAAAAATTAAGTATGAAAAATAACAAAGGGCAATAACTCAAAAATTATGAAAAGTATCATTATTGTGCACTGCACACATTCTGAGTGAGATCTATCCACCTTTGAAGTTTCATGTTGATATCTCAAAAGCTTTTTGAGTTATGCTCTGGACAAAAATTAAGTTTGAAAAATAACAAAGGGCAATAACTCAAAAATTATGCAGGTTGGAGTTATCATTCTTGTGCACTGCACTCCTCAATATGAGCTATCCACCTATGAAGTTTCAAGTTGATACCTCAAATACTTTTTGAGATATGCTCCGGACAATATTGTCGGACGGATTAAGGATGGACAGAAGGATGTACGGAGACTATTTCTATAACCCCCGCTGCCTTTCGGCGGGGGATAATAAAAGGAAATTTGCATATGTTTATAAATGTTTGAACTGAACTTTGTTTGGTGGGTAAAAATTTAAAATATACACAAAAATAAAAAAATTATTTAAAAAAATAGTGATTTAGTGTCAAACTCGAAGTTATCTCTCAAACCAGTACTGGAAAGCTATTTTAATACTGGTAGTTAGATATATTTGGGACACTTCAGTCTATATTTTTGAACACAGAACGTTAGATTGATGAAATAATGCCTCAAAGTTTATCAGTAGGTTCACATTTCATAAAATTCGCCGCCATTGCTGCCCTAATTATCACATGACTAGCAAGAATTTAGGTTCGGATACCTTTGCTTGACATTTGGTGACCCATGACCAAAATACTATTTTTTATTAATTGAAACATGGCTTTGCAATTATGAATAATGTTGTATTTATTCAATAACAGACATTGTACCAAAAACATTTTGGATTTATATTGTTTTGAGTGATGATTCATGAATTATTTGTTTGTTTCTATTTAAAATCGTACACTTACTAAAAATATTGTATGGTCCGTTTCTAAAAAAATAGATGCTAAAATTCCCAAAACTTGAAGTCCCGCGAGATTTCATTTGAAAGCAGACTCCATATTGGTAAGCATTTTCTACATATTTCCCTAACAAATGGTTAGGTACACAATGTAATTGAAGTTTCATTTAAAAACAAACATGAATTGATTCGAAATTGATTTGTTTATCAAATGGTATTTTTATTTTTACCCAAATTTGATTAATAAGGGTGATTTTAACAGGTTTAATGTACGGATTTCGAACTGCCAAAATTCTGGTAGCCTTTGCAAATAGGGTTGACCGATAACTTTACTGTCACACAACGTCAAAATAAAAGCGACATATAAAGTTATGAAAGCCAGAACTAGATCCCAGTACAGTTAAATTATCTTTTGGAAAATTGTTATTTTCATAAAACAAAAAATGGTAGATTCTACAGAAAATAACTATTTTATCCTAGATTTTTTCTGTGTTATATGATGGTGGGCCTAATAAGGTTTACATTCCCGGTAGATAGTATCCCGGAACAACCAATATTCAATCAGTTAAATTGTTTTTAGCTAATAATAAATGGAAGGGGGAAATTATGCTTTAAATTCATTTTAGATATTAATGCATCTATCAACATTTATTCATTTTAAGGTTGGTACCTTTTTTAATATGTCTTAATCTTTCTTAGAAAAACCATAAAAACCATATGACCCACTTGGGTCACTTCCAGGAATATTTTAACCTTAATTCAAACAGCAGGGTAATTACCACTAAAAAATTTGTTCAAGATAAATCAGGGCTACTAAAAATTGTAGAAAATTTCACAACAGTCTTTTCAATGATTTTCAACAGTTTTTTCAAGATTTTAAAAAACTTACACTAAATGTTATAACATGTGTACAGTACAATGTATGGTATGACTACTGTTAATGTGTATAAAAAAGGCAGTTTAAGGTGTCACTTTTCAGTATGCCATTTGGGGTGCAAAATGATAGATGCATCCAATTATTACAGCCTGGTACCTTCCCCACTTTATAATATTACCAAATATGTATACTTGTCTAGATCTGCCAAATGGCATGGCTTACAAAGATTTATTTTACAACTGAAAAAAACTTGATTACAAGTCAAGACTTTATCAATAAGGACCCCTATGTAAAGTCTGATGAATATTTAGAGGTACATCATATAAATAAATGTTTTAAATACACCTAAGACTGAGGTAAATGGTAAAACTCTGTAGCCAATACTTTATAAAAAAATTAACTTGCATGGAACAATTTTTATCACTATTTTAAACAAGTGACTATTTTGAGATAGTAAAAATTGGGCAATTTATATTGTGTCACTTAAAATAAGCAATTTCTTACTGTTTTTCTGATAACATCTGACAATTAATCAAGTATGGCATTCCTGGAAGTGTTTAATTTAATACAACAAGTGACTTTATGTACTTTAGTCAGACATTGCATCAGCGCCACAGAATTAAGAATGTGTTTTAAATTAGGTTGTGATTGAAAATTGGTTGTTTCGGGATACAACCAGGATACAATTTCGTCTGCACTCTCCAAGAGAGGCTGGGGTGCAAGGCACCATGCAGATGAGGTCATATCGCCATATCCTGTGGAAAACATACCAGTTCATTAAAACACAAACGAAAATTGAGTAGAAATTCACTTGAATTTTTAAGAAAAAAAAACCCACTAAAAATGGGGGTGTGCGGAACCGCGTCCTGTGTGAAACCGGGATACACTGACTCAAGCTATCTCAGAAAGGTTGTTTAGTTCTTTGGGGCCAGTTTTTTTTATCAATTAAAGAAAAAAATGGGTTTTAAATCTACATTAGAACTTTTGTGTAGAACTTAAACTAGAAAAAAAACTCCGTAAGTAACCTGTTAACAGCAAAAGTACTTTGAATACTTTCCCGCCAGAAATTTCTGAGAAAATAGTTTGTTGTTGTTGTTGTGACGTAAATCAATGTCTAAAACCCGTATTTGACTTTAATACCGGATATTTATCAAATCCGCGGATATGTCCAAAAATAAGGAATATGACTTGTGATATTGAAACATATTTTTGATTTCTTTTCCTTTCTTACTTTGATAATTTATAATAATAAAATAATATTGCATGCAAAATGGACTCGTAAATAAAAAGAAATATAAGTTATATTAGTTGTACCAGAGACGTTCTATATAAAATCCATATCCGTAGCAGACAGAATTAAGCTACCGAATATGACTCTTCTATTCCAACTGATCTTTTTCACCTAATTTCTTGCTGTGATAATATATAATAATATCCATCTATTCCTGTATTCTTCTGTAACAAATATTATATTACGTTTTGGTCGAAGAAAAGGAAGGGTTTCAGTACGCCTATAAAAGCATGTTTTTTCCTATTTACCTAGCTGTCTGGATTTATCAGGATTTCTTAAATTCTTATTCAGATATATTTAGTATCCCTGTACTGTATAGGAATTCTTAGAACCAGATCAAATTCAAATAATTATAACAAATGATAATGTGATCAAATGTGAAAGAAACTGTATGTTGATAAACATACTTATAGCATAAAGCAGCTGCTAAAAATAAAATATAATCTAGCAAGGTTGTCTATATGTATACATGTATTTTTCAAATATTATTACGTGTTAATTTCTATTTTTTTTTATTTTTTTTTTTTTTGGTTTTAAAGGGAGAAAAAAGGAAAACAGCATTGATAACTGAATAAGAGGGTCATGTTGGTAATATATATATCGCTCATCTGTCTATCAAGGGACAAATGCTTTATTGATAAATCTTGTGACATGATCAAAACTTACAATAAATAATATCAACGTTTTATTCAAATTCTTAAACTGATGTATAGTCCAAATTTCTTATATGTAGCCCAACATTTAAAATTGAGTTCACAGCAATACTGCCTTGCAAAAAGCAAAATGTGCACTTGTATACAGGAAATGTTGAATACTTATATATTTCAGCAAAATATTAGCATATTTGGTATCAAATTTATAAAACGTATTGACAATACGATGGCTACCATTTGATTGAAATTTTATTTTCATCGGAAACGTTTGTTTATGTGTAGATAGCGTTCCGCACACTTACCTGGCTATGGAACTTATCAATATTACAGACTTAGTAATACCTTCATTTACATGTCGCCCATGACGTCCGTTGACAGGTCCTGGAGTGGTTTTAAAAGTTTTAGTTGCAGAATATCAAATATTGAATGTATATAATTTATTATTATGTGTAAAACAATGAATATCTTTGTTAATGTCTTAAGAGAAAGAATGTTCATAATTTTAATATGTATATAAATATATCAATATGGAACTTGAAATTTCAGACCTTACAATTACAATGCCTTAATAACAAAGAACATCGTGCACTCACATACTTCTTTGGTGTATAACAGGTTCACACCCATTTTCGCATTCAACGATGATACAGGTTGGTTACCAAGCCAATATTAACGATGGGCATTTACTAGAAGTATTATATGCTTCTAGAACAGGCCTCTGTTAATGGATGACAACAGATTGACAAAACGTTTACGAGTTATGTTGTGACAATTAAACAAAATTCCGATTATCTCGGATTAGGACAGACTTTTGATACACCGACAATAGCACGTGATCGAATCACTCACTTCTACCCGTGAAATCCAAATTGTTTCAAAATCAAGAATCTATGGACTATTTAAGTAAAAGTACCGCGAAAGCGGGGCATTAAACGCATGAATGTAATTTTTTTGAGTATTCAAAAATAACCTTTAAATGAGGGAAGTGACCAAATTAAGAAACTAGTCTAAAAAATGTTTTATCTTAATTGTCCTTGTGTTACTATATGACTTCCAAGGCGGTTATATTTTGTTGTAATTGTAATTTGGAAGAAGAAAATTTGTATTTCATAATCATGACTCTGGGTAACATCAATTGTGGCACTTATTTTACCATATGATAATGATTTGAACAAATGCTACACAATGCTGCATACCAAATATTTAAGTTTTAGGCATTGCAATAATAAGAACTTGAGTAAACAAGAAAAATATTACATACTTTCGTATGTGATATAGGTACGATTGCATACTACTTTTTGTGAAGACTTTTTATATTTGCTGCATTAAAGGTGTAATGTAAAATGAACAAACATGTCATAAGATATTTTATATCTTTAAACATTTTCATGGAATGTAATTAATGTATCATCATATTAAAGTTGCATGCCTTCAGATGAGAAAAATTATTTCAAGGAAATCAAAATATGAAAAGAAAATTTACGGTCAATTGACTGCTTTGAAGCATAATCACAGAATAAAATTACAGGAAATTAAAAACCTTTTTAATACACTAAAGGTAGAATTTCATTGTAAGTCATAGTCACAGATTTGAGATATGATTATTTATTCATATTAACATCATTATTGGTAATATATTGATAAAAAAAACCCCGAAAAACACAGTTTGTAAATATTTATTACATGTACAATAAAATATGAAAAAGGTATTTTCCATCCTATGCGACGCGCCGAGGTTAGCTATATTTATAATTCCCGCGCTTAGTCGCGATGGTGCTTGGGATAATCACTTGATACTGTAAATGGCAGCCATTTTACGATGCCCTCCTCGGACAGTTTTTCCTGCCGAAAAGATATGAAAAAATACTTGCAATTCAAAGTTTGTTTGCTATATAAAGATTATCGATTAACTCTTTGCAAACTTTTTCTCTGCCTGATTGTAATAATATTGATGTGTTTCCATTGGCTTAAACCATCACGTTATCAATACACATAAAGGTGTGAACTAATTTCGTGTTCATTAAAATTATTCCGTTAATAGACATATAACAATGTTATTTACAAATGAATTGATAAAACAACAATCCCAGAAGCATTTAAGATAATAAAAATCATTGGAAATAAATGCATATAAATTGTAAATTTGTGTATGACAACTCACTCCCTAAACAAAACATAATAGACTCAACCAAAAACAAGCGTCTGCTTCTTTACCTAACCCCCCCCCCTAACTATGTAGTTGCATGACCATGATCAGCAATAGCAAACCAAATGTAAGAGCTAAAGCTATTGTAAAAATAATACAAGTAAAATGGTTTCCTGCGGGGAATGATATAAAGATATTTCATTTAACTATTTTCAACATTGTTTTGGGAGAGGGAAATAAATAAACGTTTGTATCAGGAATATAGTTGACAATAATCGATCAAAATAGAGGTCTTTGGAAACTGGTGACCGTTGATGACCGGAGAAGGTCGAACATAAAACAATTATTTCTTTTTAAGAAAATGATTAAATATTTTATGAATAATTCCAAGCAAAAAAAATGAAATAAAGTAAACACACAAGTTTACGCAGAAAATATCTCTATTTATTATGGCAGATGCCACTACGAATATTTTAATTTTGTAGATTTTCAGTATAACCTATTTATTGTTTGTAAAATTTGAGATACAATGATAATTTTCAAATACATCATTCAAGTTTTTCCACCTTAAACGGTAAAATAATTATAGAAAATTAGAAATATCACGTAACACGCCCGTTTAACTCACAACGAGTGAAAAATGTCCATCGGTAAAAATGTTGTGAGCAACTTCCGTTCCTCGTTGTGAGCACCCATCTATGACGAGTGACACGATAAACAAGGTGAGTTTTTCATAATTTTTGAAGATTATATACATTTAAGTAAAAATATCGGAATGCAGTTAGCTAGCGATGTGTTTTCCGAGTATGCACATTTAAAGATATTGCCTGTTGGTGGACAATTTGATGGAAATACCGTGCGACGCAGTCACTCGGGGTAGCTGGAAAACTGGAGACAACTTCTCTTTGGACCTAATTTAACATTGAAAACGTCGATTCTGGTGACGTTTTGTGCATTTTAACCTAAAACAGATGCCAACAAGTCTTCAGCGTAAATTATTAGCTGAAAGTCTTCGTAGAAACGAAGATATACTCTTTTTTGCTTTAATCCTCGTTGTGAGCACCATAACCTCGTTGTGAGCAAGACAAGCGCAGTGCTTGTCTGGTTTTAATATGTAATTCAAATGGCAAGAATACAATTTTCAATCTACCAAAAGCAATCAAAACGTTTTTTACAATAGTTTTTCTTTGCAATAGTTCTTCTTTTTCTTTTATTGAAAATTATTCTTCATATTCACAAGTCATCAGATTAACAGAAGAACTAATCAGTCGAGGTAAATCAGGTATTTTATTTCGTATACTCCAGTGTGGCTCGAGTGAACATCACGGGGTGTTTATGAATATTTCAACAATTTCACAATCTGTAGGATACACACATACATGTGTTTATCCTGAGCTGAAGACTGACCAAGTTATGTAAAACAAGAACTGTCACGGTAAGTTGACAATGCCCCTGAAGTGGTGCTTTGTCCTTTGATATATGGACCAGATAGATTATTTGTTTTTGGACAATTAGATCTTCAATGTGAAGGTAATTCAAGGTCAAGGTGAAATAAATATAGGTCAGTTGGAAGGTCTTGTCCAAAGGGGCATTGTGTCCAAATATGAATTAATTCCACTTACTTATAAAGAAGTTATGACCAATGTTAAGGTTTTTGGATGTTCTAGAAGGTCATTCACGGTACAAGGTAATAAAAAATACAGATCAGTTTGAAGGTCTTGCCTAAAGGGGTGTTGTTTCAAAATATGAGTAGAATCCGTATACTAATAAAGAAGTTATGACCAATTTTTAAGCTTTTGGACAATTTGACCTGTAAGGTGAAGGTCATTCAGGGGTCAAGGTCAAAAGAATATAGGATAGTTGAAAGGTCTTGTCCAAAGATGTGTTGTGTCTAAACATTATGCCAGGACAGTATGGCCAATCTTAAATGTTTTTGGACAATTTGACCTTCAAGGTAAAGGCCATTCAGGGGTCAAGGTAAAAATACAGGTCCGTAGAAAGG